AAAAGTGGAAAAAAACCTCAGCTCCCACAGTTTCAAAATGCTGAACTCTTGCTGCATTATGGTCTGGGGCTTTTTCCATGATCAAAATAAGCAAAAGGTTTAGGTTAAGCCAGATTTATACAAACCCGCCCCTAACAATGCAAGTGCAAACTTACTGTGCACTAACTCGTGCCACAAGTTGGTCATGGGAGCCAAAGACTGGCTGTAGAATACCCATAGCTATGTAACAGCTGTAATACCCATAGCTATTTTTCTTTTAATTTGGAAGAGGGAAAAAAAAAAACTAAACAGACATGTAAAACACAACACAGTTTTTATTTTAAAATCAAATAGTAGCTGAAGTTTCATAGGGGCAACTGAGACTTAACAGCTCACATGCTATACACTTAAGCACATTTAACATTTCAACTCAAGCACTGCTACTACATCTTGTACACATAAAGAACAGTTTGCCTATTGCAATCTTTCTCATACACTGCACACAACACAGCATTTCATTGGCAAAATTTCAGTTACACACACAAGCAGCACCAGAGTAAAAGCACAAATGTGCTTTTGTAATACAGTAATAATGTCATGAGAACAATGATTTTTGAATTTTCAAACCTCTGAACAGTCGTTATGTTTGTTTTAATATTGCCAGAATAGATAGAAACATTTTTATCTCATCACATCATTCAACACAAGTTTGTAAAAGTCTGATCATCCAAAATGCGAGAAAGTACAGACTGGACAGATTAATAAATTACATGTCTGGGACATCACACATTTAGTTCTCCCTTGCACACTTTGCACCTGGAACTTTGAATTAAAAATGGGGTTTTTTTACTTCAAGGAACATTTGGAAAATTTAAATCCATGATTGGTTGGGTTTTTTCCCTCCAGAAAAAAAGAGCATAACTTCTGCATGTTCTGAGATTCCAGTTCAATGCCATCCCTGTCCTGTGTTTTTTCAACTTTGACCTGTTAAGTTTTAAAATAAAATCTTGCGGTAACTGAGGCTCTTTTTAAAAAGTGATTCAAATGTACATGGGATTTCATCACCCCACCTTGCAGTAGGGAAATACCAGACAACATTAGCTAAGGAATATTACTTTCAGGTCACTTGGGATTTGACAGTAAAATGAAGAGCCAGGGCCTTGTCAAAGCGGTGCCAGTTATCCAACAGAATGTGAGGCAATGGACCAATTCCCCATTATAACCTACAGAGAGACTGTAAACAACCTACAGAGAGACTGTAAACAAATACTAAAGGGCCATGAAGATCACTTTCTGTATTTCATTAAAACAGGGAGCAGTTTCATACTCACAAAATTCAGAGTTCAGTACTGGTGTCATGTCACTCCAGGTTAGGCAGCAGATGACACCTCCAGCCCCAGAGACTGATGTGTTTTAAGGGGGTTAAAAGTTGCTCACCCCACCTTGTGAGGCAATTTGTGTGCTACAGATTCTCAAATATAAAAGCTACTCAGAGTTTGGCATCTAGCACATGATTGCTGCCAGTCAAGCGGATTTAAGGGCATATTTTAATCTCTCTCACATTATTCTGGTCCTGGAATTTTTTGCTTCAAGCTCATAGTAATTCTGAGTTGGGTAACTCAGGCCAGGGCAAGGGGCTCCCCATGATAGGTGTTAGTTTACAAAGATGGCAGTGTTTTCTAATGCTAATGTATTCCCATGCTGCATACCTCAACTAACAGTTTCATCTCTAACAAATGCACTGGAATATGCTGATAGCTCTAACTCGACAGCACAATATCATACAGACAGGGGCCAGTGCCAAATGGTTAGTTAAGCAGATAAGAAAGGCACTCATTCTTCCTTTAAAAATAAAAAAAAAAAAGGAAGCTATTGCAGTCAGGCAGACAGAGTGTGGATGGGAGCTGGCAGATTCCACAATACAGAGTCACGTCAAAAATGGCCTCCTGCAAACTGTTCCTTCAAGCATTTGAGTCAGCCAAAAGGGAGGAATCTTTCCCATTATCCACAGGAGTTTTACCTCCCTATTCCACAGCAGAGCAACATTTCCTATACATTTTGACATAAAAACATGTAAGAAGCTCAGAGAATAAATTGCACTCTGCAGCAGAGGAAAACTCCTCTCCCCACTTTCTGTTTCCAGTCCTAAAGTTGAGTCGGGACTTCATTTTGACAGTTCCCTGGTCTGTGAATGGAAAATCCCTCCTCAGCACTAGCAGGCTGGTGTCTGCTGCACACACCCACTGCACACAGCAGAAATTCCAGTCAATAAGGCAAGTGGGGCCCAGGCGCTGGGAGGGGAGGAAGGAGACATACAAACAATAAGAAAAGCATCTGGCTCTGTTACTGGCTGGGAAGGAGACTGGAGTTCAAAAAAGACACAACTGCAGCCTTCACTTCACAGGAAGATCATATCAATTCTTGCTGCCCTACTTTTCACACAGACCAAAATATGTGGAAAAGGTAACCTGGGGCTTCCAACCCACACTTTAATGCAATTCCATTAACTCAAGAATGGTGATGAAACCCACCTTGGACATTTTTGTCCCACAGGACGAAAACATATCCCTGCTCCTGCTTTAGGCCTGTGGAAACAGCCCAAAAAGTAAAGTCCTTTGCTGAACAGGAGTGAGCCATCCCTCTACCACCACACTAATGGAGGCTGCTCTGCTGTCCTTCCCTGGAGATAGCAGCCAAGTCTAGTGAAGCTTTTCTCATAGCAACCAGAGCTCCAGAGCCAACAGCAGCTGCTGTCACTGCCTTCAACGCTTACCCACAGGATCCAGAGCACAGCAACACCCTCCTCCCTGCACCTCTACAGCAAAAGAAAAAAAAACCCTGAATGCCGGCAACAAGATGACTTCCTGGGTCAACCACAAGAAAAAAATAAATCCTAGTATTTCCTATACCAGTGAAAAGAGGAATCTCTGATTATTGAAAAAAAAAAAAAAAAAAAATTCCTTTTTTGGATTTAGATTCTGGCAGCAACACCCAGTCAGGGTGGGGGCAACTGCCTGAAATCCATAATGTACCAGCACACCATCAGACACCAACATCAAGTTCTTCCCTCACCCAAGGAGAGAGACTCGCCCCCGCCGTACCCCCAACGCTCTCATTACATCATGGCCCGAGCCCGCAGCAGCCACAGGAGCCCTGCAGCGCCCCGTGACCTCTCCAGCCCCGCAGAACACGCTCTTCCCCCCCAACAGCGCACCCAGGATCTCAGCTGGTGTCAGAGGACCACGAGGACACGGCCGGGAAGGCGCTGCGAACCCCCCCTCGCTGCTACACCCATCTCCCCCGCTTCCACAGGGCCACACGCGGCCTCGCCTCTCTCCCTCCCCCGGGACGGCGAGACACTGCCCGGCGCCGCTTCCCCGCCCGGCCCGGCGGTGAACTCCGGTCACCGGCACCCAAGGACGAGCCGCCGGTCGACAGTGACCTTGCCGGTGCCGTCGGGGGTCGGAGCGCGGGCAGCGCGGCGGGGAACCCCCCCCGCGCCGGCGGTGGCCGCGGTGACGGGCGAGGAAATGCGGGAGGATCCTCGCTGCAGCCGCCGGCGCCGGGAGCGGGGGTTACGGAGGAAGGCGCCGCGCGGGCACCATGAGAAAGCAGAAAATGCAGGTCAAACACCGCCTCCACCGAGGCCTGGAGGGGCCGGCGGTTCGGGGCGGGCAGCCACAGCCCGGAGGCTGCCCCGAGCCGGACAACGACCCCCGAGGCCCCTCGGGACAATGCGAGGACACGGGGGCGCGGAGAAGGCCGGGCTGCAGCGGGGCTTCATCGGCGCTCGCCTTTACCGACAAAGCCCCGCGGCCGCTCCAGCCCCAACTCCGGCCCTGGCACCGCACCGGCCACCGGCGTCCCGAGCCCGCGCACCGCCGGGCCCGCCATGATGCCCGCACACCGCGCCGGACCGGGTCAGCTCGGGCCGGGCCTCCGGGGGCACGGCGGGGCGCTGCTGACCGGGCTGCCAAGGCAGCGCAGAGCAGAGCGTCAGACCGCGGGCCGCGCAGGAGCTCCCGCGGCCGTCCGCCCAGCCGCCCGCCCCAGCGTTCCCTCCCGCCACCGGCTACGGCCGGTTCCCGCCTGCCCGCGCCTACCTGGCCGGCCCGTTCCCCGGGCCCCTGCGCGGCACCAGGCCCGGCTCGGCGCCACGGCGTGTCCCGGGCAGCCGGCGAGAGCGAGCGCTCAGCCGCGGCAGCGGCGGCCCCTCCCCCGGCGGCAGCGGCGGCTTCTCCCCGGGCCGGGCGGAAACGGCACTGGGTGCACGGGGATCCCCGGCGCCGGCGCCAGGGGCGCCCCGGGCACGCCCACCCCACTCCCTGTTGGCTGTCACGCCGCCGCGTCCCGCCCCGTCGGGGCGCCCGCCGCCGCCGCAGTCCCGCCCTTCCACCTTCGCCATTGGCGACCTCGCCCCGCGGCCCCGCCTTTGCTGCCGCTTCATTGGGCTCCACGCGTCCGCCCCGCCGCGCGCCCCACGGTCCCGGCGCCCCATTGGCGCGCGGCGCTGCCACTCGGCGCGGAGAGCAGGGGGGCGGCCGCCGACAGCGTCGACGCGATGCGGAGCGGGCGGGCTGCGGCAGGGCCCGCCGGGCGAGCCGCGCTACGTGCCGAGGGGCGGGGCCGGCGGGGCGCGATCGCTCGGCGCGGGGCGACTCCCGCGTCGGGACACGTGGCAGAACGAAGGGGCGGTGCGGGGGGCGGCCGGGAGCTCTGGGCGGAGGGGGGCGCAGGGCGCCTGCGCGGCGGCGCGCGCGCGGGGCCTGCCGCGCGGCACGTCCTCGCGCTCGGGTTTGAGTGGGAGGGGGCTGGGCCGGGGGTCCCTTCACGGGGTCCCGGCGGGGCCGCCCGGGGCTCAGACCGCCCCTCCTCGGCCCGGGCCGGCTGGGCCAGCGCTTCCACAGCTGGCCGGTCGCCGTCCCTGGAGCCCCGAACAAAGGCCGCGGGGCAGTGAGGCGGAGGGACGGCCCCTCCGCGGTAGGAGGGGCGGCCGAGCCGGGCAGGAGGGGCCCCGCGTCGCTCGGTGCCCGAGCTCGGCCGAGGGGCTCCGCCCGGTTCCGGTGCCCGCGTAGCGCGTCTGCGGCAGCTCGCAGTGAGCGATGCGTGCGGTCCGCAGCGCTGCAGGGCCGCGGGAGGAAGGGAGTGGAGCCCGGGCGCGGAGGGAGCCGCGGGATCACGCCGGAGCTGCGCAGCCGCCGCCCCGCTCCGGTCGCTCGGCAGAGGCGGCGCACCGGGGGTTGCGGGCGGGCCGCCGCCCCCGCCGGGAGAGTCGGCCCGGCCCCGCGGGAGGGCGGTGCTGTCGCTGCTGCGGGTCCCGCGGTGCCGCGAGGCGGGGACAGCCGGCTCGGGTCACGGTGCGGCGATCCAGGCGTGCCGCAGGCTCTGCGCGGCGCTGGCGCGGCGCTCGGGCGCGTAGTGCAGCGCGGGCAGCAGGAAGGCGGCGAAGGCGGCCGCCTCCTGCGGTGTCCAGCCGTGCCGGTCCGCCAGGATGCCGGGGAGGCTGCGGGGAAAGAGCCGGGAGAGCCGCAGGAGCGCGCCTGGCAGAAACAGCGTGGGCACAGCGCCTCAGGCACACCTGCGCGGCTCAGGCTGCCGCGCCTCGCCTCAGAATTAACCCAAAGCATCCCGAAAGATCTTTGCCTTCTTCTTGGAATTATCTCTGTAAGCTGCACCTGAGCTGCCCCTTGCAGGTTTGGCTCTCGGGTGTTTCTCAGGAACCACCTTTTCAAGCTGGTGTTTGGAGTCTCTCTGTTCCTGAGTACTTTTCTTAGGTGAGAATGTGCCAAGAGTGCACAAAGTGTTCCCAGAATAACCATGCCAGAGCCATTGCTGCTCGTTCCCCGTGCCTGCCCACAGGCACCCGGATGCATCATGCTATTTCAGTGTCAGAGCTCGCAAGACTCCAGTTGAGTTTGTTACATGCCAGCCAGCTCTGTGGGGCCCTGCAGAGTGTATGACTGAGCAAGAAGCAGCCCTCGTCCTGGGGAGTGCACGGTGTAAATACAGTGATTCAAGTCAGGCATGTGTGGTCAGGCCAGGCTGGTTCACAGGGAGAGTGAATGTAGAACTAGTTTTGATTCATTTCTTTCAAGAACCATAGAAGATGTAAGTGTGAGCAAAGGATGTGGATGTGCAGGGAGGTGCTGGTTAAATTCCCGCATGGGACCAGTACTAAGCACTGAATGAACTGTGGGTAGGCTGGTAAGCATGAAAGCAGAGAAGGATGGTAAGCCAAACTGCAGAAGGGTGGAGTCATGTGATGCCTTGTGGTCAAAAAAGGGTTTCAAGAATCATGAGTCAAAGGGAAAGGAACTGGGGAGAATAAAACAGAAGAGATGTTGCAGTTGGGTCAGAAGCCTAAATATAGCAGCCACATTGGAAGGATATGAGTGTCCCATTCCTGGCCATCATTGTTCTCTGTCAGTGAATGGGTGAAGTGCAGCCTGTTACACACTCTTCAGCCTTCCTGGCATGGAACTGTTTCCTGTCTGCATTTCCATTTTCTCCAAATCCAAAGGAGAAAGAATGGAAATGCTTTCCCTGTTCGGTGTTTGCTATGACCATTTTTCAGGATTGTGCATTCATCCCTGGAATGCTCATGGATTGCAAAGCAGGCAGGGCAGGGAGTGTTACTGCTCTTTATGAAATTTCCATTTGTGTTCCATCCCTGCTTGTAGCCTGCATTGTGTGAGTAACCTTTGGGGGAGTTCAACATGAGCTGAGTAGGAGTGTGTCAGATCTGCAGTGATTTTTAAAATAAACTTCCTTATGCCAGTTCTTACCTGGCCTGCTGAAAAATTTTGTTGACTTGTTCCAAGAGAAAACAATTTGAGGAGGAATTCTTCCCAAGAGTTCAATAATACGAGCAACATGATCTAGATGAAGGGAGGGAAGAAAAATTTAGATACAGACTGTGACACTTCTGTCAGTGAAATGAATAAAACTCATGGAGTCCTACCATCATCTCTGGAGAAATATTTCCCAGGTTGAGGATCAAATAGACACTCTCCAGTTGCCATTTCAAATGCCTAGAAATGGAGTAGCACTGTTAATTCACTGATTATCTTGGAGTTTTCCATGCTCACTAACTGATATTGCCCTCTTTATCACACAAAACTGGTCCTAAAATGTGGAAATACTCACACTGGCTTGATCTGTACCACAGTGAAACAACACCTTTAGCTCCATCAGGATGAAAAGCAGCATGTGCCTGATGCAGGCAAGCCTCTGAGCTAATCTACATGGAGTGAATTGCTTTAGAGCTTAAACTAAATTCGGAGTGGGTTGTACCAGCAGCAGACTTTTGCCCTAAAGTGAATGAGTGCCAACAGCCCCTTTTGCCCTCTCAGAAAGGAAGCTTTCTTTACATGGATGCTAAGGACACGCTGCCCTGGCCAGGTAAGGTCTGTCACCTCCCCAGTGCTGTCCCCAGCCCTACCAGGCAGGCTGTACTCCAGATATCCGCAGGAGTGCCGTAGTCTAATCCAAGAAGCACTTCCAGGGCCCGGTATGGCTGCGTCTGTATCTCCTTGGAAAAAGGCTTGTACTAAAACAGAAACAAACTCCTTAAACCAGCCACAGCAGCACTGGTGGTCATAAGCTTCTTGTGCAGTGACAGGACATTGGGGACACAAATGAATGTGTGTTCTCAGCTCTGTGCAGGGCACAGCCAGCACATTCCTGCCCCACTGACACCAGTGGGAATCTACCTCCCAACATTTCACACTGAACATAGTTTTAAATTTCTAATTGTAGGGACTAACAGCAAGCTGGAGAAATGTCCAAAACTGACAGTGGCTCAGGAAGAACGTGCACAGCTTGGAGCTGAGAGTGGCAAACATAACAAAACCTCCCAATATTGGCATCTCTGAAATAGCTGTTCAGCTGTAAAGGGACAGACAGACACAGTGTGGGATGGAAAGAAGCACACAGCATCCCACATTGTCATGGGATTGAGACTTGGAGCAGACTCACTGTCCAGCATGCGCTTCCTAGATCTGCAATTTTCACCTCTATGCTCATTAGATCAGATTCTTCCAACTGATTGTCAAGATCACCTCCTAGATGGAAAGGACAAAGAGAAATCAGGTCTTTCTGAACCAGCAGGTACACACCACTTACCACAGGAGAGGTATGTCTGCCTTCCCTTAAAGTTTCTTGGCCTAATTTAGGAGCTAAAAAGCTCCTAAATACTTTTTATCATAAATCAAATGCCGCCTCTCTTTTTTTAAGGAACACAAAAAAAGGCCTGGTATCCAGTAAAAACATAAGAGAATGGGAGAACAGTAGCTTGGAGTGGAACAGTGTGACCATATGCTCCTGTCGTGCTTCAGGGTTCCTCTAGCACCAAGGTTAAATTACTGTGGGCCCAGAGGAGAGCACCAGTCAGAACAAAAACATCTGTAATTTCTCCTCAGCCTTCAGCAACCCTGGCTGTCACAGACCTTGGATACAGCCTGCTTGGCCAGCAATGTGGACCTTATGTTTCCATATGATCCCAGAAAAAGGTAATTCCTGGTTTAGTGCCTTACAGTGAGCTGTCAGCCTGTGCTTAATACTGTGCTTTTCTGCTCCAAGCAAAAGACTCGGTCACTAATTTAGCATTCCCTGATTGCCCCAGAGTTTGAGAGACAAAACAACACTGTCATGGGAGAAATGCTCACAGGAGAACACAGTGCAAGGATAATATGAAAGGCCTCATTGCTGGGAGATGAGATAATCTCTTGAGAAACTCTCCAGCCCTACATCTTATTCAATATTCACACCATTCTGTGCACATAAATTATGTCTCAGAAGGCCTTGAAAATTAGCAGCACATACAAGTCTCCCACAAACCTCAGAAATGAGGGAAATAAAGAGCAGGAGTGTCATACAGCTTTCTGATCAAGCCTTTTTGTATGTAAACCTTTCAGCAGCTGAAAACATCAGTCACATGGAACTGTCCTGTACCTCAAGCCTTGAGAGTGAGCTCTGAGGTGGTGGTGGGGCTGTTAACAGATATCTGTGACCTGTAGCTGTCCTTCACACAAACCCACCTGCAGGACCACACTTCTGTAGGTGCCTTGAGCCCAGCCTGGTGTTTGTGTTAAGCAGAGAAAGGAGAGGCCTTTCAGCAGCATAAGCTGGCTATAATGTTTTATACTGGCTGTCATGTTTTGTACTCGCTGTTGTAGGAGATGTGAACCTTTCCTAAGGTATCTGTACCTGCTGCCTCTTATTTCTCTCCTGCCATTAAACACCTAAGACCATTTTTTTGTTAAAAAATCCCTGGAGTGCTCACCTGCTCCCTTTAGCCTCCCTTCTGTTCCCTGGTGGCAGTCGAGTGTAGCCGTGAGAAGCCTTTGGAGGCCTTTGCTGCGTCCATAGAGCAGGATGTTCTCCGGTTTGATGTCTGCGTGGATGATGCGGCAGCACTTGTGCAGGAAATGCAGCCCTGCCAGCACCTGGCAATGAGGCAGCACTGTCACGCTGTCACAGCAGCCCTGACAGGGTCCCCACCGCCTCTCCTGCCCCAGCAGCTGCCAGAGCAGGCAGGCACAGCGGGAGTGCAAGTCAGGGACAGTCAGGCACGGATGGTAACTGCTGGCAATAAATGGTTTCCTGGTGGGGTGGCCTATGGGAGCAGGCACAAGGGGTTCATCACCTCACAGGACAACAGAGCCCCAGGAGCAAGGGGAGGCCTGGACAGCCCAGTGAGGAAAGGGCTGTTTGGGGTGACACACAGCAAAAGTGTCAATTGTCACAGTGTGACAATCCACAGACACCAGCACGGATGGGCAAGCCCAGGGAAGTGGGAGGAGGACGGGGCTATGAGGAGGCTGTTATGATTACAAAGCTGAACTTTCTCCTGAAAAAACATTCTTCTTTGGATGGCTGTTGTGTCCTGGGACCTCTGTGCCTTGCCACTGATTATAACCAGCCCCCAACTTCCATTTGAATGACACTGACATGTAAAGGGACTGGTGTCAGTGACAGGCATGGGAGGATGTTCCATCATACAAGGAAAGAAGAAGACACAGGATAACACAGACAGGAGGGGGAGAGACCATGAGTGAGTGCAGACAGAGGATTTCAGGGCCCTGCAGGAGAGCCATGTAGGGAAAGAAAAGCTCGTGATGCACCAGGGAGAGCCTGGCCTGTCACAGGGGAGAAATAAACAACACCTTCCAGAGACGAACACTCACTATCAGAAATCAATAACAGAGAAAAGGCTATGGGGAGATTTAGGTTTGTTTTTTAACACTCTGGTCAGTCATAAAGGACTGGTAAATATTCTCTGTATTATCAAATTCTATTCTGGGATGAACACCAGCCCCAGGGAAATATCAACCTTAAATGGTAACTGTGAAATGTGGGGAAAGATTTAAATAACTAAACTGGAATGAATCAGAAGTAAATACTTCCCCAGTGCTGTTCTGAAGGGAGGAAACAGAACTGAGATTCTACAATTAAAGCAGATAATGTATCAGCAAAAGCCTGAGTATCACATAGAGCACAGAGGTAATGCCACTACATTTTTGTGTAACTTACTCAGGTGTTAGTGGAGCTTCTTTAGAGAAAGGAGAGGCTACTACAGAAAACAGGATGAAGGAGGAAGCAATTTTCTTTCTTAGTATCCCTAGAAGGGCACACGAATCAGGGTAGCAAATCTTCATCTTGGCAAGTGTGCAGACTTCTGATGAATCTCAGCACGAGAGGCAAAAAGTAATTTTAACTATTCTGAGGCCTCACTCAGGTTTCTCATTCCTTAAGCAGAGCCAGCCCTGAAGAAACTCACTTTTCACCATCTTTTAAATAGGCACAACACATCCTTACAGTGGATGAAGGAAAAGTTGGCTCTGTACAGGGAAACCTCAACATGGAGAGAACCAGCTGACCAAATCAGCAATTTAGAAATTCACGTGAAAATGGGAGGGAGACCTTGATCAGCCTTCAGTGGTACCATGCAGAAAGCTGCTGGAGCTGACAGTGCTACCCACAGCTGGATGCCAAGGCAAATGCCAGCAGTCTGGAATTACTGCCAGAGGGGACTTCTCTGGGCAGCAGGAGGGCAGAGATGGTTTGCCCACAAGAAGTAGAACTATGGCAGGCTGTTTGTCCCCTGCTACATCTACAAGCAGCAGAGAACCCAATGATTACTGGGCTGATGGGAACAGAACTGCCAGCCCTGACTCCCTGGTGTACATCTGCAGGCTTTTGGCACTTTGTGGCCTTGACTCCTTCCCAAACCTGAGGAGGCTGCAGGCTTAGGCAGTAACACCCAAGTCCTTCCCCTTGGGAGGAAGACTGTGGCATGTCCCACAGCCAACAGCCCCTTGGCACCTTTGCCTGATTGCAGCTAAGTTCTCACCTGCTGTAAAGACTTTTTCACAAAAGACAAGGGCAGTCCCTGGGCTGTGTAGTTTTCCATCAGACATCGAATGGAAGGACCCAGCACCTCAAATACCAAGCAAGAATGTGGGAGAGAGTTAGGGATTCACTAACAGGGAAAGGTGTTACCACCAACCCTTTGCCTTTCACCAAAGCAACCAAATACCTCCTGATTCAGCCTCTCCCCTCCAGCCATGCCCATGTGCCCTGGTCCAGCTGCAGCCCTGCTCATCCATGCTTATCTTCCTCATGGCAGCACAGCACTTAGGTTTACACCATCCTGTGGCTCTCCAAGGCAAGCCCAGACTTTGCTGACCCAGAAAAGCACTCTTCTCTGAAGGATATGGAAACCATTCTCTCCAATCATTCTGAAGTCATCTAACAAAGAGACGATGTTTTCTCCTGCCAGGTCCTTCTTCTTCATGCAGCTTACCTGAGGGGGAGGATTCCAAGAAAGCTGCAATCAGAGACATATATGTGCACAAGGACACTTTCTGCCTGTTTTATCCTGTCTGACAGACTTTCTCTTCTGCCACTTTGTGACAAATCCCATGAAAACAACATCAGGAAAACCAGGAATGAGTTTCTGTATGTTTTGTCTTGCTCTTGACCAGGTGGGACCATCACACCCACAGCATCAAAACAACAAACACCAATCCTGTTGATAGTATCTAGCACATTTCCTGCTGCTTATTCTCTCCAGGCAGACTCAGAAAGTGTTCCTTTCTGAGGTGGAAGGGGATTCCCCCAAGAAGACAGCTCCCTGCTCTCAGCATCAGTGAGATTTTCTTTGCCTCACACCAGCCCTTTGGCAATTTTAACTCAAGGGGTTGAAGAGAGGCAGAGGCATTATGGCTGTCTTTGGCCACTCAAATGCTACTTGTCTTATCAGGGTAGAGAGCAGCTTCCACATCTGGAAGAACTCAGTGAAGGAGGCTTATTTGTGCTGGAAAAGGTTGGCTGTGGGCAAGTGATCTATGGGATATGGAGGGGTAGTGGAGGAGGTGAACACATCCTTTGTACTAGAGCCAGGGGTCTTCAAACCCAGCATGTAGTAGGTCCAAAAACACCAGAGATGGTTCTTCACACAGCACATAGGTGTCTGGGGACTGTTCTTGTTACAGGGGGCTGTGGTTACTGAATCTCACAGGGACTTGCGAGGGTTCAAGGTAAATCCACTGAGAATTCCTGCCCACACAAGCATCGTCCTTGGCCTGAGAAATCTGCAGCTGGAAACTGCAACAGGCCAGGGGAGCATTCAGTGGGAGCAGCACCCTGTGCTGTGCTCAGCTTGTCCTTACACCCACCTGGACATGTGCTGAGTGAACCTCCAGGCACAGGTGCTACAGCACCCCCAGCACCACACACCTGTGTGACAAGGAGCACCAGGGGCTTGCCCTCCCAGAGCACTTATCCTGGTACAGCCATTCATGCTGGTTTTTTCTCTCCTCATGGCCACAACTGCTAGGGTTTTGGTTTGGTTCATTTTGCAGATGCCAGATCCACCTGCACCAGTGCCAGAAGGTTTGTTCTGGCACAACACAAGTGAGCAGCCCTGAAAGCAGAGACCAGATCATCTCTTCTGGCAGCTCTGCAGGCACTAAGCCCTAGTGCTGGTGGGAACAAGCCTTGGGAAACAGCTGTGTGCTGCTGAATGGGCAGACATGTCTCTCAGAATTAATAATAAATCAGGGGTAAGGCTCACTCTCTACACAGGGTTGTGCTGATGTGTGGAAAAGCAGCCCTCTGATTACATTAAATTAGTGCCACTTGGTACTTCCTCTTGCATCACTGCATCTGGCTCATCTCCCTTTAGATAGGGCCTACAGATTTACAGGTGTTAACTAAATCTCTCTCAAACCTGTTGGAGAAAGGCCACAGAGTAATTTAAAATGCAGAATTTAATAGCTTTTACTCACCTGAAGCTGATGTAACTTTGTATTTGAACAAACTTGAAGAATTGTAACCACAAGCTTTCTAGAACTAGCAGTTCCAGACAACTTCAAAGGCAACTTGCTACAACCCAGATACAGGCACCTAATTATCACCTCCATTAGCAGAGGCCAGAAGAAGCTTTCTGACTTCAGATGTTTATTGTGTTTTGGTACATCATGTATTTTTCTATTGCAAATAGTGCCTTTTACTTCAGCATCAGTGTTGTGATACAGCAATGTCCTCTGAGTAATGTTCCTCTGTAAATGATACAGGTACAGTAGATATGCTCCTATCTCCTGCTTAAGAGCATTACCACCTTCTTCTGTTGATTGGATACCTTATCATTCTGCAGATTCTTCCTTTTTGCTGGATTTCAGTCTCAGCTTAAAGAAATGGGCTGACAGGGCAAGTGGGACATGTCCCAGTATGATGCAGGAAGGAGAAAATGCCTGTTTCAGAGTCCAGTCCTGAGCCAGGGTGATTTCTATGAATTCCCCAGCTTTTGGTTTTTTTTCCTATTCCCTCACCTAGCTCCTTGGACTGAGACCAGCAGGCAGAGGGGATGATGAGGCTGATACTCAAGCCTGAACTCAGTGGCCATCTGCTGGAGCAAAGCACAGACCCACAGAATATACTTACACATCGGAGGAAAGCAACCTCATCCTGGGCAGTGTCAGCAAAGCCTTCCCTGCTTTTCAGAACCTTCACAGCTACCTGCTTCTTCCTCCTGGGAAATGAACCACAGCTGTCAGCCAGTGCTGGCCCTGACCAGCAGCACTTCCCTTTCTCCCAGTCAGCCAGCCCTGGGCTCCCCAGGGAAGGTGCTGCCCTTCTGCAGGCACCCTTGGCCTCGGTTTGCAGCACACCAGGCCCATGGGCATCCCTCCTGCTGGCATCTGGCAGCACAACTTCCCCAGGGACCAGCAAGAGACTGGAGAGAAAAAGAACACGAATAATGCAGGGTCTAAACAAGAAAAGAAAATGTAGAGCAAGGGCTGATCCCACTTCATTTACATTCTTTGATTTCTGGGGACCAGCTCTGCTCGTTGCACCCCACTGATCTTGCTGTCAGGTTTTCCCTGTGCTCAGGGGTGCCTGGCATGCTCCCAGACTGTGCTCTGCTGTGTCTACAAGAGGGGCCAGCCCTGCCAGGACATCAGCCACCCCTTCCCACCTCCCTGAATGGCACTCAGCCCCTCACCTCATGTCCTGGCACAGCCAGACAGTGGCAAAGGTGCCACATCCCAGCTTGTGCAGCACCTGGTATCGCGTGTTGAACACCTCTCCCTCCTGCATGGGGTGGTGGCCTCCTGTGGAAAATCATCACCAAGAGATATTAATGACATCTCTAAATGCTCTCAGACTGAACGAGCAGCTGAGGACAGCCTGACAGGTCCCAGTGGCCTCCTTTAGCCTGGGAAGAGCCTGGCATGATCTCATCTCTGGAGCCTCAAGGCCAAGGACTGACCTGTGCACTGGGCTGATGGCATCTCCTGCTGCCCCTGCTCCTCCATGGCCCTGGAGCATGGCAGATCCTGGCACAAGGGGATGGAGGCAGTGGGACACCAAGCTGTGGGACACAGGCAGTGTGAGCTTCAGCACTTCATTCCTTTCAAGAGAGATGGAGAGCTGCAGGGTGGCCATACCTCTGCTGTGCCCTCACACCCCTTTCCTTCCCATTCCCTTCTGCAGCTCTTGGAGTCAGGCTGTTACAAACACTTTTGGCACTTCAGGGAGACAGGGATTATTTTAAGAGTTCAGAAGGGGAAAGCTGGCAGGCTGGTCCGGGGCCAGGGCCAGGTGGGAGTCTCAGGTTTCCTAGTGTGTATTTTCAGGGGCTTAGCGGGGCCTGTGGGACCCCCTCCCACAGCCAGGGAAAGCACCTCTTCCCTACCCCCATCCTGGCTGAGGGGGGAATTTGGGCTTTGGCTGGCAGGCAAGGCTCCTGCTCCAGAGGGGTGTGAAACAGAACTTGCATTCTAAACACTACAGTGCTGCTCCTCTCCCACAGTCCAGCCCTGGGGCTGGAGCACGGGTTTGTCACTGACAATCGTGTGACATCCCAGCAAGGCCACAGGACATCCTGGCAAGGGGCTGCTCATGGGGTTTGTTACTATGACAGTCCAAAGCACAAACACCAAGACAGCAAAGACAGACTGATCCAACTGCTGTCCCCCAGTGCTGCAGCACTGAGGTAGGACTGGATTCAGTACTGGTCACCTGAAATAGCAGCCCAGAGCTCTTATTGCTAATGAAATACAAATTTAAGCCACAGTAGCTGGGGCACTCCCAACCCCGCCTTCTATAATTTGGAAATGTCACTTGCTGTACAGCTGAAGCTTCAGGCTAACACACACTGTCAGAGCTCGAGACAGGTGATAGTAATGCCCATAGAGCATTAGCACAGGTAGAAATATTGAACTTTAAATCCTCCAAATCAGGTCACTAAAGCTCAGAACTCATCTGAACTAGAAGATTTTCAGAAATAGTTATAGAGGGCTGGCAGTGCTGGTGGCAGGGAGTTGTTCTGGAGCTGTAACATCTTCCAGCTGCTGAGACAGAGAACCTGTTTTGACTCAATGTTTTGATTTCCTCAAAACATTGAGGTTTCTTTCCATGCGCTGATGTTCCTCTCCCAGCACAGCAGCCAGAGGCACAGCCTGCCTTTGGGCACCCAGCAGGCTCCCAACACAGTTCCAGTTAAGGGTCAGACTGGGCTCAAGACTTTCACCCTGTCAAGGAAAACCCAAAGTGCCAGAGATGACATTACTCTGTTCACCCATGCCTGCACAGAAGTCTGAAAGGAGCTCAAAATGCCTCCCCCTCCTCACATTTCTACACCTCTTACCCTTGCATTTATGCTGTTCAGAATCAGTCTCTTTGGGTATAAACCCCCTGGACGCTACATAGCCACTGCATAGCCACTCTTTACAGTAAATGTTCCCTGACATCTCACCTATGAAACAGAACTGAAATCAAAATTTTCCTTATTTCCTTAGTCTGTGCACAGACTAAGCTTATCAGTACCCTCACACACTCCTGCACCTCCAGCATCTGCCTGGGCCTTCTTCACTCACATCATGAGGACAGCAGGGCCTGAGCTGAGAGCAAGCAAGCTTTAATCATGCAGCTTACCATTCACCTACCTGCCAAAGCAAAACTCAGTTTTGTGGAGATGGGAGTTCAACAGCTTCTTCCCTTGGTGGAGTGTTCTGGTGATAGGAGGCTTCAGTGAGAAAATAGAACCCAGAGGCAGACCCAAAGTGTAAAACTCAGCCCTAGCATGGATGGAGCTTTTGGGCAGTTCAGGCCCTGGTGGCCTTGTTGCTGCAGAGGCAAGCCGAGTCTATCCTTAGGCATGCAAGACTTACCTCCATCCACCCTCTCTGGGTGGAAGCACTGGCAAAAGATGAAGAGTGTTGCTATGCAACTTGGTACAGGAAAGTGAAATGCACTTTTCTAAGCTTTGTGATAGAGGACAATTGGTGCTTTTAATCCTTCATTTCTTGATACTTTCACATTAAATACAACTTATTTTGCTTCTGTCATTCCAACTACTTTGTGCAGAACCCACTGAATTGCTGCAGGCCTAGACTAACTCAGGGAATTTCAGCCCAAGAACTGCTCCTGCCTGGTTTGTGAGAGACATGGACGAGGAGTGATGCTTCAAATCTGGCCTGGACTCCTCCACCGAGCCTGCATGGAACAGTGTACAGAGCTGCCCAACACCAGTCATGCCTTATGACACCTGGACCTTTGGAGTGGCAGAACTCACCAGACCAATACACACTTTCAGCTCCTGCACCACCACAGACCTGCAAGCCCTGGCTGAGCACAGCACCCCTGCAAGTCACAGCACACAGCAGACAAGCGGCCCCGGCGGGGCTCTGAGCCCCAGGGCCCAGCACAGACTCACCATGCAGCAGCTCACGCCATTCCCTTTGTCATCTGGCTCGCTCTGGAGCTCCCCAAAGTGAGATACCAGCTGGTCCTGCTCTGATTTTAGTCTGCACTGCCCCAGGAGGGATGGCCTTGAGCCCACCGAACTTCTGCATCACTGGATGGACGTGGTGAGGAGTAGAGCAGGGTATCAGATCACAGCACCACTTCTGGGAACAACCTTGGCTTTGGGAGAGCAGGAGACCTCAGACAGCTGCGGTGGATTCACTTTACTGCTGGCCTCTCCCTGCCTCCCTGGCAGCAGGCCTGTCAGCCTGCAGTAGATTCACAGTCTCCACAGCAACTATTTATAGCGGGAAATTCACAGCTCTACTGAGATGGAAACAGAGAAGTCCTCCCCCTCTGCTCTGCCTTCTCCAGACCCAGAAACCGTGGGGCTGCCTGACTCTTCCCCCTGCTCCCAGCAGTGTGTCAGCAGGACTTGCTCTGCGGCACCATCTTCTGCCTGGCAGAGCCATCCCTGTTCCCAGACCAGCCTGTGTGCCACACTGCCAGACCTGAGGAACCTCAGCCTCTCCAGCAGCACCTGCACACAGTCCACCACCACCACAGCATGGTGCTGCTGGCCACAGAGCCCATGCTGCCCCTGCTCCTGTCTCTTGGAGAGTGAGCACAGCAGCATCCTCCCCACAGCCCTGGGGGGACACGAGCATCCCAGCACACACAACACAGGGGAGGAAAAGGCCACACACAGTAAGAATCACTTTTTTTTCCCCCACTGCCACGAGCTGCAGCCTCACACCGGAGCTGGGCATGGCCTGGCCTCCCCCTCGCTGGGGCCCTGGGCTCTCACAGCTCGGGTTTCCTGGCTGAGGCTGCAGAGAGCAGGCCCCAGCCCTGCAGCAAAGGGTTAACCCTGCCTGCAGTAGCTCTGCTGCAGCTCCAGGCTGCCAAACCCAGGCCAGGGCCTCCCAGAGTGGTTCTCCCCCTGCCTGTGCCCCTCTGCTCTCACCTGCCTTCCCTGCACTAAAAATACCAAGGGAGGGGGCAGAGGCTGCGCCAGGCCGGGTGCTGAGCCCTGCGGGGCAGCGTGCAGGGGACAAGCGCCTTGTGACCCCTTAAAGGGCAACAAGAACGCACAGAGCACAGAGAGGAGGGACTAAAAGAGGGGGAGAGGCAGACTGTACGAAACTCTGCTAGTAAAGGAAGGGGAGGGAAGAAAAGAGGACAGATGGGCCAGGAGCCAGATTGCTGTCTGGGAAGAGCTGTGAAATTCATTTAAGAATTAAGTTGTTTTGGTAAATTAGAAGCACTGGTTTCTGCCTCACGCTGGTGGACAACAGTGACCAACAGTGACAACGGTGAAGGTTCAGCAACCCTTACCCAGAGTGAGAGACTACAGCCAGAGCTGCCAGGGACCATGTGGCCCCAGTGCCAGCCAAGACGAGTGTCTGTGGAGGGAGGCTGCCTGCTCCCATGGGCAGGGATGGTATTTGAGCTCTGGAAACTGCAGAGGAATGCAGGTGGAACTGGCACAAGGTTATCTTGAAGAAACACAACCTAGGGAGGAGGGAGAAGCCTCGCTCCTCACACAGCTTCGGGGTCCTGGTGCTTCGGAGTACAGTTTCCACTTAGGAAGAAAAAGAGGCAAATACATTCTGTGTAATTGCATCATCATGCAATACCAGCATGACACAGAAGTTGTATATTAAAATTTATTGAATTATTGTGTAAGAATTCTCTTTATTAAAATCATTTTGACTCTAAACTGATTATTTACAGACAAAACCTCTTATATCACCAATAGATTCCTACATCTCAGAACAGTATCTACAAACAGTTATTACACTATGTAACAAAATTCAGATTTTTTTTTCCAAGCTTTTTATATTAATTATTAATTCAAACTTGAGAAAGACAGTACCTTGGGTGCTCTGAGCAGAACCTAAGGTGTGGCAGGGCATAAATGCAGGTCAGGCCATACCATAACAGACAGACAGACACCAAGTCACAAGGCTGGGAGAGAGCAGAGTCACCACGACACAGACCAGGAAAACGACTACAAGAGCAAATGCCCTGGGTGTTCTGGAAACCAAAATAACCATCCCCACAAGAAAGGCACACATTAAAAAAAAAAAAAAAAAAGAAAAGGAAAAAACAAGAAAAAAAAAGTATCTTGCTGCAACCAGGGCACGCCCTGAAAAAGATGGCATTCCACCAAGGCAGCAGCATCCAAGAACCCTCTATTTTAATTTTAAAAAACCAGCCATAATTTCTACCAAAATAAAAAAGCTTTCAGGTACAGCCTAAATTTGCCACCAGACAGATGAAAGCAAGAGCTCTCACATCTACGTCACGTGGGCGCCAGCTGTGCTTCAGCCTGCCAAAGGGAGAGACATTCAAATACACTAACGGAGATTTATCTTAACACTGATGAGTTCTCAGCCTTTCACCCAGACCACGGCAAAAGCAAGTCCCTCCCTCTGACCACAGCACTAAATAAAGCTGGGTGACTGGGGAACATCGCTGTCCTGGGAGTCCTGCTGGAGCAGTGACATCCCTGTGTCCCACAGCAGGCTGCGGTAGCAGGGCTCTCTCTGCTGGTGCCCACTGAACTTGCTACCTGTGGGCAAACAGGAACTTCCAGACAGGATTCTCTGTCCTTGACAAGGAATGTCCGGTTGGTTGTGGAATCAGGCAGAGACTGGGAAAAACTTGGAAGGATCAAGAGGAATAAATAAATAAGTTTTCCCCGCAATAGGGAATTCCATAATAAAACCTGTTTTGTGCAAAATTAAATGCAACAGAACCCTGCCACAGAAACGGATTTTGCCACAGGACAGGGGCACGGACGGAGATAAGAGGGGTCACGCCTAAACAGCCAAGATGATCCCAGGAGGGCCCTCAGTGTGTGTCCACAGGGAGGAGGATGCTGGTATCTAGAACACCGAGGACAGATGGATGGGAGGAGATGGGCACTACCAGCTGTCCACCCTCACTGCACCTGCACCGGGCAGTGTGTCCTGTCCAGCCACGCAAGGACAAGCTGAAGATGTTAAATAGGTCAATCACCTATGTTTAGCTCTATTTTTAAGTCTTGATTATCAATCTAATAAAAGCAGACTTTCACAGATACACTCGGAAAAAGCAGACGATTTCCAACATCCAGGAACAGCACTGAGAAGCAGGGAGAATGTGGATACCAGTGGGAGGTGGAATGAGAATTAAGCCTCAAGCCACTCTGTTCTGGGAAAGTGCAGAGATAATTCTGCAAAAATAGGGGCAGACACTGACAGTCTGTAGAGCCAGAAATCCAGGGGAGTTTCTGTGGCTTCTGGCAGACACTGAGCAAGCTGGAGAGGCCACAAACCAGGCCTTGTTTCCTAGGGTAGAAAGTCCATCCACCAACACACAAGGGGACAATGCTACTCCACCACTACACCTGCACCTGTCTCAAACCAAGGAATCTCCTCCTGCAGTCCCTCAAGAAATGGGCTTTACTAACGTGTACTGCATTGTTTTTTTCCCATCCAGCAGTCCTTTCCTCAACTTTTTGGTGTGACCAATTTAATCAGATTTAGTCAAGACAAAGGTTTCAGAGATGCTGAGTTCCCATAAGTTTTGTGGAAATGGGTGATCAGGCAGGAGCGAGACCCTAACTGGTCCTCACCTGGGGAAAGAGGCAAACTCTGCAGCCCCATTTCTGCCTGGCAGCAGCCAGCCAGCCACCCTGCTGCTCTCTCTGTACAGCAGGATAGGAGCAGAAGGTTGCACAGGGATGCTCATACTCTGGGCACACCATGTACCTGGGAATACTGCTATACTGCTGAGAGAGGGTCACAGAAGAGAAGAGAGGCCAGCATTAGCCTGCTTCATGGACAATTCTGCAACTGCACAGCACTTGCACAAAGCCACAGGGCTGATGGAGGCCTGGAATTACTGCTATTTGCAATGTAAAGAGAGGTAGGGATGTCATCCTGCTCTGTTCTAGCTCTGCTCCCTCCTGGCTCACACAATCACCACCTCAGAGTAGTGGCAGAGGAGTCAGACCTGTCTACCTGCCCCAGGCACACAGGACATCAGTGTGGAATTAGCAGCTGGGGGGGCAGGGGTGGGGCGAGCGGGAGAGAGAACAAGTAAAGCACCCTTACAAATTAGCTCCTAGAAGGGCAGAGGACTGTTCACAAGGTAGAGGAACTTAGGAAGGAGCAGTGAGGAGCTGCCCAGTGACAGCTGCCAACTAACTGTGCTTGTGCCTGCTGCATGGCCTCTCCTCCATGCACAAATCATTCCTTTTTGCAGGACACCAGACTCTCCTTGGGAACATCATGGTTGTGCTTGACAGCTCCTTTGAGTTCACAGCTCACCAAGTAACCCTTCTATGTGCCACAACAGGAAAGTCTGAGCAGTGGAGCTGAGAGTTAGGTGTAAGGCAAGCCTAAGAGAAGAGCACAAAGACAGCCTGGGACTGAGCCGTGGGGAAAGGCGAGCTGCTGGTACAACGACAGAGACACCTACAAGTTATCCCTGCAGACAAAGCAGCGGAGAAAACTGCTCCAGTGCTGACAGACGTTTGTCAGTAGAAGTGCACAGAGATACTTCTCCAAGAAAAGCTTTGTCTCAAAGCCACAAAGTTAAACATTCTCCTTTAGCATTTAAATACATTAACTTTGAGGGTATTTACAAATCCAGTTCAGAGCAGCAGAACAGCTGGACACTGGAGGAAGGGGGAGTGGCACAAGGCATTTGTTGTGCTTTTCCAAAGAGCGGGACAACCTCTGACCACAAGGAACCAGGAAGACAGATCCGAGCTGAGTCAGTGGAGACCGAAGCGAGCCAGGTAGCGACTCTCACACTGAATTTGTCCTGAGGGAAAGGGTGAGGGGGTGCTGTCCATCTACAGTGGCCCCATGGCAAACACCCATGCTGGTGAGCACATTCCAGCCAAGCAGGTGCCACACACGAGCTGTCAGAGACCAGAGCACTGGGGAGCAAGAGACCTTCACCACTGGACACTCTCCTTTCCACATCCAACATCTGGGACCAGCAGGGACATTGCTGCAAGGAGTTTCTCAGGAGTGCTTGCTAGCTGGAAACAGAGGTTAGCACAGCGATCAACGCAGAAAAAGCTTCCTGATCCCAAAGGAAGTGAG